AATAAACCCAGAAAATATAAATCATCAGGAGGCAAAGGCTGAATCCCAGAGGAGGAGGCCAATTCATGTGATGAAGCGGAGGAAAGACGATCCGATCCACATGAAGATAAGCAAGACAGCTTCTATACCCATTGTTTCGTGAGTTGGAAAGTGCGTACCTTATACATTGATGGAGGTAGCTGCACCAACACTGTTAGTCCTACAGTAGTTGACAAGTTGGGCTTGACATACGCAACACATCCTCATCCCTTAAAGTTACAATTGCTTCATGAACATTGAGAGGTGGAGGTATCCAAGCAAGTATCGATTTCTTTTACTATTGGGACATACACCGCCAAAGTTTTCTGTGATGTGATGCCCATGCATACTAGTCATACATTACTTGGGCAACCATAGCAAATATACATGTGCACAATTCATGATGGCCTTAGGAATCGCAATTCCTTTCGTTGCAATGGTCGAAAATTTACTCTTACTCCTTTGAGGAAGTGATTGAAAATCAACAAAGGATCAAGAAATCATTGGAAGAGAGAAAAGAAGTCGCAGGACAAAAGGAGAATGATGCCACAAAGAAAAAAGGAGAATAATGCCGTGGGAGAACAGGAGGATGGTGCCACAGGAGAAGAGAAAAATAATGTCGCGGAAGAGAAGAAAATTGATGATGACCCCTTCGTGAAGAAAAAGAAAAAGGAATGTTTATCTAATCCTCACTCATCCGTGTTTAGTGGGGGTTGTGCCTTTCTCGCAGGATTCTAAGAAAGTGGAGTTGATTAAACCATTACATGAGAAGGTCCTGCTTTGAGAACAAATCATTTTGAAGAATAGGGAGATGATAAGAGCAAGAGGACGGGGCGGGGGGGGGGGGGTGGGGCAACTTACATTAAGTTACATGAGTCCCGATGGTCAAGACATAAAGCAAATAAAACTCAAGTTAATTCATCTAAAAAAGAATTATACAAGCATAAGAAGTCTGGCAACAAATATTCTAAAATGATTACATACAATTAGTTATCAAAAGGAGTCTTTAATACCTTGGACTCTCAAGTATTTCAATTCCTACAATTATGGAAAGTTAATCACTCGCTTTGGGAGAGTCCTATTTGAGCTTGGAACATATTTTACATATGAAATTAAAAGATTTTATCCCTCAAAATCTGGTTGAGATTCCACATTACCCAAGCTGCCCACTTGTATACAATCTTTATCACACATTCTCTTTATCAAGATGTGGAGTTCAATTTCAAGTCATATTTGGAATTCAAGAGTCCTAATCCAAGTAAGAATCATGGGAATCAAGCTTAAAGAGTCATATTTCATCTTTTCAAGAGTCTTAGTTGAATTCCCCTTTCATAAAATCATATTAAAAAAGTGTTGGAAACATAATAGACAAATGGAAGCTCAAGGAAGATGGATTTCTACTCATGGCCAAATATCTCCCTAGATTTTTTCATGAAGAAGAGTTGTTTTCTTACTGCAATTCAGATCAATAAAATTCAAGTTTTTACTTTAATTTTCAGCTAATGTGAGTGCTCTTTAAGAGGTTGTCTTCAACCATCTTGTTGAGTGAAGAATTGGTTCTACTTATTAAGGTAACTCTTGTGCCGTTTTATTAATTTTTGTTTACTTTCTCAATCACTTTAGGATGCATTTATAGGTTGAATGTGGATTAAATAAGAAGAATTTATTTAGAAATTAAGTTTTTATGGTAAAACTGTGTTGGAAGTTTTGATAACATTGGTTGATACTGAGTTCCGCATCAATATTGAGACTAAAAAGCAGTCTAGGCATTATGAGATGATCCTTTGCCTGTGAACTAAGTAAATTGGGTATTTGTTAAAAGAGATCTCTTAACTCATATTATCTA